TCAGGAAGTGTTGCAGGGCCTGCACCAAGCCGAAGCAACAGTTTTAAAGCTCCTTCAAACAGTGATTCTTCAGCAGCTGGTGGCAACAATGGATTCAACCAGAGAGCACCTGATTTGCCTCAGAATCTCCATTTGCAGGATGATATGGTTCCGGATATAGCTCATGAGTTCACAGAGAATGGGTTTTTTAACAGTGACCTTGACGATAATATGGGTTATGGCTGGAAGGCATGACTAACATAGTTTGGCCCAATTAATGGCTTCTGTTGGGTGAGTACCGGGCAAATCGTTGTACAGAATATTTGAAATAGCCGCCCTTTTGTTTTCTATTGTTTTACTCTCTTTTTTTTTTTGTTTTTTTTTCCGGCCTATCTAATATGGCATATTGTTGTGACATCACTTGCTTTGTGCTTCAGTAGGTGGTTTAGTGATCTTTTTTCTTCTTTTCCCTTTTATCTTCTTTAAGGATTTCCCGTTTTCAAGTCTTCCAAGTGTAATCTATTGAACGAACTTGAGAACAGATTCAGTATCTTTTCTTATTAATATGATATTTACATGCTTCACTGGCCAATTAGGACTTGTGATCTTGACTGGCGGGAAGGGGGTAAATACCAGATTATGACAAGTGTATCTATTGTTTGGTAGCTGATGACGGCCTTACCACCTATCCTGATACCTGATTTTGTAGACACAAGTCTTAATGCAGCAATGGGACGCAAACTTTTGCACTGGAGCCTTTTCTGGCAAAAAATCGGGGGATGAAGCCTAGACCAAAGGTCTAGAGGCAGCTACGCTTGGTTTTGGCTGTCTATCCTCCGCTGGTTGCTTTAACAGCTGCTAAGTTAAAAGGCAACTACTGCACAGCCAAAGTGAATAGTCGTTAAATTGAACCTAGCTGACGTTTTGCTCCATCATGATTCAAGAAAAGACTTAATGCTTACAGGCTTAAGCAACAAAATGACACAAATGGAACTGGATATCCACTCCATAAACCCACTATATCCAACATTGCTAGTGTTATAACTTCGACGCAAATTTCCAGCCAGTTTCCGGTGGCACTATTTTGTTATTTGCAGATATAAAATCCAATCCGATGTCAGATCAACAGAAGTCCAGAACCATGCAGCTGCACCTGGATTAATGTAGAATGCTAGCAAAAGAGGAAAATGTAACTGACATGAACAATTTTCAGGGTCAAGTAGGGGGCTCGTCATCGGCTTCATGAGCACCAGCTGCCCCAGTCCCAAGTAGTGCATTCAATGTCATTTTTTCCCAACCTCTTGTGCCTCTCTGTATTAATCTTGCAGTTAGAGTACCAAAAGGAGAAGATGCTGCATTCTCCCCATTAGGTGACCCTGAGGAAAGCATACAATTTTCTGTTTCAGGCAAGTACTTCAAAGTACACCTCCCTGTGGCATCAAGTATGTCTATATCAAATCTTGGTAAGAGTGGCCGCCCAACAACTTGAACGTGGGAGATACTGCACAAAGGTCAACGAATTTTACAAATTTAGAAACAGATGTTGTACCTTAAAATGAACAGAGACAAGATCCGCAATTTACACTTAAATGAACAAAAACTATGATTCCTGGGCCTCAATTGGTAGTTAATGCAGAGCAGGCCAAGATTAAAAACTGTTTCCAACAATAGCCATGCTTCAAAGTCTAACTTGCATCTGAGCATTTGATTTATTGATTGGTATATAATCTCCTGTTTAAAGAGTAAAGTTCAAATCCCCCTCCTCCCAATTAAAAAAAAAAAATTCAAAGTCCAACTTAAAGTAATTTCTTCACTGAGAAGAAGTGTGCCTCAAGATGTCCTGTTACAGCTAATTTCACAGTGCACAAAATGACGCTATCAATTTGTTAATGAAAAGCCTTAGCTAGCAGTTTCTTTTGTTCTTTTTTAAATTTGGAATTACCAGCTTCTAAAACGTTAATAATCAGAAAAATTGAACCAACAATTTAAAAACTTTAGTCATCCAAAATATCTCTCGAAAGTTCAGAGAGAGGGAGAGATAACCATATCTAATATAAACCATCCATTTCCTGTTTCTGAACTCTACCCAGCAACTCAACTTGCAAGAATCCTCCAATGCAGAGAACAGGCTCTGGTAGCTTGAATTTTTGCAAGCAATTTTCCTGTCAATAAGTTATTAGAGCTGTTTAAATGAAGCAGATGACAAGAGAATTTGAACATTAAAAAGAAAAAGAAAAACTCCATGGGAATGCTACCTTGCATTGTAGCCTAATCACACAGGATCGAGTGCAGGACAGAGGGGAATAACAGGAAAGGAAAAAACAGAACAAAAAAAGTCTAATCATTGTTGCTTAATGAGTCATAAAACAAAAGATAATACCTCTTGAATTTCCTTTCCCCAACTGAACATCAAATGAAAGCCAATTTTAGCTGGAAATTTTGGTGAAATATATGTCCATATAAACTTGTCATCTGCCAATCTGTGACTAGACGTTGAGCCATCTTAAGCGTCACTCGCCTCAGGTAACCTTGGATGACCCATTCTAAATCTAACTGCCTTTGATGAATATATAGGGAAGCCATACTGAAAATAAGCTGATACGCAAACATAATTCTGTTAGTTAAAAAAGTTTCATTACAGGCAAGCGGAATACAGAAGAGAAGAGTACAAACAAATAGAGTTGGACCTTGGAATCTCTGAACATGGAATTCTGTAACAGGACACATCTTGGCCGCCAACTTATAAATTAAAGTCTCAGGGATAGCAGGATCACTTTTGCCTTCACTTGACCAATATGATGCTATATGTTCTATTCTATCCAGTGGCTCCAAAGTGTTATGGATGCTTTCTTCAGGGTAATTATCTGTGCCGGATGCAATAATGGCCTCTGATATGCAATCTTTTCTTGTGAAAGGGTTAAGGCCTCAAGCTAAAAAGGCATAGACTCTATGATTCCTTCTAAGGCATTCCAACTCGAAGTGATCATGCTGTCTAAGTTTTACAGGATCTATCAAGTTGTTCACTTCAATGGTGTGAGCAACGCTAGAAATTTCAGGCAACAATTTCAAGCAAAGCTGCTTACAAAGACCGTTAGAAATCACTGCAAGATAAGCGAAAATTACTCATATCAATATTATTAAAGAAAAGCATATAGTAACAAATAAAATCAAAGCTAAAACTGAAGCTGTAAATAGGCTGCGTCAATCAAGACATGGTTATGGTTAATTCCAGCATGCCTTGCTTACCAAATTGGCGCCAAGAACTGGAAACCAAGCAAACTCTGATGAGATCAGCAGGGTTATTCAGATGCAGTAGAATCTTCATAGACATATCAAGTCCAAGCAATTTTATAAAATCACCACAACTGTCCATTTTGGATCTTTTGGGTAAAGATCTAACGCTTTGTAGCTACAACAATACTGCAAAACAACAGAAGATCCAAAAAAAAAAAAAAAGGTCAAAAAACAGCTTAGGAATCAATTACAAAAATTCAATTACCAAGCAACGATTGGACATCAGAATTCTCAGTTGTCTACATATAAGCAATATAAGGGCAGAAAAAGATCTTTGTTCTGGGTTTTCGTTGAAATCAATCGCGGAAAATTCGTTACCCAGCTGAAAACAGACTAAAATCCAATCACATGAAAGACAAGACTGAACATACAGGAACTGCCCCATTCCCAAAGATGACATCTTGTGAGTTCGTTAAACGGGCTTGACAAAGAAAATGAAAGAAACCCATAAGCTTATAATGCATACAATGATGCAAACATGATAGATATCACAGATGCAATCATGTAAACTCAAAACTTAAGTAAAAAGTGTATAGAAAGGAAAGATACCCTTTTGCAGAGAGAGAGAGGCGATAGATCCAAAGCAAAACTAAAAGGAACCAAACAAAAAAAAGAAAAAACCGTTAAAGACAGAAAATGTAACCATTGTAGCCACCTTTCCCGTTTAATATCAGTACGACAAGAGGGAGAACGCCACCGACCGGCCCTGAATTTCAATGAGACAGACAGTACTAAAAGCCCAACAAATAACAATATCGTGGACCTGTTATTACCATGATGACATTATGGACTCCTTATATAAAACGCTTTGTATATTTTTCTGGGGTTTGTTTTAATATTTCATGAACATGTTCTTTTTTGGCCTTTGGATCACATGGAAGGGTTAAGCATTGATTCTTGCTTTAGTGGGATGATACGAGGTTATTAATTTATTGTTGCTCTTTGTTTTTTTTTTTTTGTTTCAAAACCTTGAGATTCCCGACATGGTTGCCACTGTTGCGTTTCTTTCGTTCATGCTTTTCAAGGAATATCCACCTGAAAAAAACAAGCTTTGAAATAATAAAAGGAAAAGAAAAGAAATTGTTATACAAGTAATAGTCAAGAATAGTAATTGCTTCCTTCCCCACCATAAATATCATCTGTTAAAGTACTACAATTCTTGATTCAATCAAATGAAAGATACTTTCCACCATAAAATAATGAAGAAAGAGAGCAAGTCTTATTCTGTACCATGATGGGTAGACTGTATTCCATACAATGTTTCCTTTATCTGAAGGTTTACTCGAATAATCATCCACTCAAATAGCCACAGCTGTAACTCAAGACCAAACGATGGGGTCAGGCCCTCATGCACTAGATAAGAATGCCTAAGTGGCCGATCGTTCCTGACCAATGAATGCTTTCGGCCTGACCGCGGTCTCCCAGTGGGTCCATTTCAATCCAATCCCCTAACAGTCGATTGCTTCAATCCAAAAAAGATTGATGGAACCTTGTTGTGCTGTACAATCGACTCAACCACAGGGTGATTTGGATCCTTTCTCTTTTTCTTGAGGATTTGATTTTAGTTTTTTTTTTCTTTTTGTCATGTTGTAAACAGGGTCAATTTCAATGATTTAGGATGCAAAGAAATAGACCATTCAGCTTTAAAGGTGTAGCATTCAATAGGGTAGCTTGTATTTTCAATTGAATAGAAGTTGGAGTCAATCCCAAATAGAATTATTTTCCCATTTACTGGACAAAGAGAATAAGACAACGTTGATTAAAATGTATTAACAAAAAGAAAAAAACCCTAGCTAGAGGACATTGAGACAAAAGAACATGAAATTCACATGCAAATTATATTTGTGGACCCAAAAAAAAAAAAAACAACCCACATTTCTGTTTGAACTGCTCCCCATTTTAATGTAACATATGTAATTTAGTTTTATGTACCTGCCTACTAGAGAACATCCTAAAAACTTAGTTTACTTCAATCTCAGCCTAAACTCACTAGGGTATATCAATACAGAATCTACACAAAGACCTCCTTTGGTATGTGTACAATCGATCTGCATCATTGAAAACTTGATCTTTGCTGGGGAATTTGAATTCTCAATGACAAAATCTCCCACATGGTAATGAACCCAGTTCCCTGGTTCATACAAGTAACATTCTGACGCGGCTTGCTGGCCATTGGACGTTGAAAGTTGAAACCGGACGGGCTTGATATTCCAGCCATGAACCTGATCAAGGGTACAGACCCGTCGGCCGAATCTTTTTGAGGATTTGCCTAGCTGCAGCCTGAAGAATAGACTATATGCCCCCGGAGGAAACTCAAAATCTAATTCTCCAACCACTTCAAACCACCAGATTTGTTGAAGATATGCCACTGTCTGGAATCTATACACGTCAAAGAAAATTGATGTTTAAGTCAATTCTTCATTGGTTTCCCGATCTTCCCTTGTCACAAATATCTTCAACGAGTTAAAAAACTACTAAATCAAGTTCAGCATTGAAAAGCGTATATTTCCCAGGTTTTGTGCTTGTTTGCTTCTAATGCTAGGCAATGTTGGGAGGGAATGAAAAATTATACAAGCTCCTTGGGATTAATAAAATGTATCCCTGTTTTCATTAGAAAAGGCATCTATCTCTAGAAAAATAATGATACTAAAATTGAATACTTAAAAGACAAGGCAAGCATTCGGAATACAAACGGAACAAAAAATCTTCTCAGCATATAACTAGTAGGCCATCCAACTTGGTTCAGTCTTTTTCAGTCATAGCTCTCAAGGCGCAAGTTGCTAGTGCTAGTCCTCTTCCTAGGTGATTACAGAATCTAGATGGCGTAGTTACATCACATCCAGAAACACACACACACGAAAAAAAATCCATTTTCTTTGAGCTCCTTGATGACAACATATTCCCAATTTCAGTTGCAATGATATATTAGAATCATTTTCCATGGCAATCCAATTGAGAAAAAGAGAAAAGAAAAGAATCACAAGAACTATTCCAAAAGAAAGGGATAAACATCAAGGAATATATAGTAATGTATTACCTGGATTCTTCTGTTGGAATGTGATTCCAATATCTCCGATCATCTATCCCTGTTATTTTCAGTGCCTTGGCGGATACTGCCAAGCAAAGCTTACCGCTGTGTTTATCCAACCACACTTCCTACAATTGGAAATTTAAACAGCAAAAAAAGATTAAGAAACAGTAACTAGTGAATCGCAATGGTTTTCTCAGGCCTGGATTAGAATATATATTGTAGTCAAGAATCACATCCCCAAATCCTTGGTGGGTATGTCTGTTTATACATCGTACAGGATAATCATTAACAATTGTGATCAAAGATCAAATGGAAACTAATCTTTTTCTTCCTTTTGATTGGTGATGAGCAAAGAAGAGAACGAAAGCTACCTTGGAGCCACCATCAAATCGATTGGGGCAGCAAAGTCTTGCATAAGTCTCTTTCTTGCTTAAAGTCTCCGGACTTTGTCCAAGAACTTTCTTAACCAGATACCTGTAGTTTGATGGCAGCTTTGTTTCCCATACAAAATCAGCCAAAGAAGCTCCACGAAAGGCCCTGTTCAAGCTCGCTAATTTGCATATCTCTGGTGGATCCAAGCACATAAAAATTGATGATATACAGCTTTCTGGCACATCATCAAGACCAGGCCTTAATGGAAAACCCCTTTGAGCATCTGCCGCCAGAGCAGAAACACCAGCCCCCATAAAAATAAAAACAAGAGAACCAGGGAAAACCTAAGAAAAGTAAAGCAAAATTTTATTTCAAGAAAGGGTTCAGAGGTAAAGGAGAAGATGGTATATGATGTAGGAAACTGGAGGAGAGATCGAAGAAGATGCCACCATTTCCTTCATGTTTAAGGGAGAGGGAGAGGGAGAGGGGCAGAGGGGGTTTCTTTTTTGGGTTTTAACAAAGGAATGCAGTCCTTGAGAAAAGGGATAAAGTGGGAGTCCTATATATCAATATTCTCCACTGGACAATGGAAAAGGGGGCGTGTAGATGAGTGTGCATGGAATGTATTCTGTCTTTGGATTCGAGTAATGTTATTTATACGTTATCCATACACCAGTCTTTCTGGCTTCAGTAAAAGCCTGGCTAATCCACAAAAATTCCCAATACAGGCAATAAAGTTGTTCAAAGCTCGGCAAATATCATTTTGTTTATATTTGATTTCTCTTCTAATTTTCTTTTAAATTTTGAAAAATTTAATTTTAGTTTATACTCCCTACCAGAAATGTGTTCATTGCATCAATGTATAAATTCTAAATTGTATTGTATTTTATTCTGAAGATAAGGCAAGCATATATGGAATTCAAACACCCATTTAATTAATTCACTGTTACTGATTATGGAATGAAAGCCATACTTGTTACAAAAAGGAATATATATATATATATATA